CGTGAAGAAGTATAATCGCATTTGACTTCTAATTGTTCATGTAGGAGAGGGTGAAGGGGGCGTCCGCTTTGTCCGATGTAGTGTTTTTCGCAGTTGGCACGGTTTATTTTGTAGATGATGTTTGATTTGTTTTCTTTCGTTATTTCGTCCCTTGGTTTGCATAGGATTGATTGTAGTGATTTTGTCGGTTTGTGTGCCACACCTATTCCGAAGGTTTTCAGCAGTCTCGTTGCGGTTTCTGATATCCCTTTTATATATGGTAGGGCGATCATTTTGTTGATTCCTATGCTTGACTTGGGTTCTGATGCTGTGTGCGGTTGGTATTTTTCGATTGGGTAGCTGTTCTTTTGAAATACGTCCTTCAGGTATTTCTCTTCATTTTTTCGTGCTGCCAGTGTGTCCTCGCCCTCTTGAACAAAGTGTGTACGCAGTTGATTTTGTGAGCTCTTGTGTTGTTGCTATTGTAGTTGAGAATTTGATCAGTATGGGTCGGCTTCCTATACACTTGAGTTTCCAGTTTTACTGTGTCGCTTCTAGTGATTAATATATCCAAGAATGATCGTTTGATGTTTGACTCCTGTTCTATTGTGAAAATGATATAATCGAAGACGTTGTAGATCAGCTTGGAAGTGTTTTACGGATCATTCTTTTTGACGACGATGAATGTATTAATAAACGGAATATACCCATGATGACATTAAATAAGAAAGAAAGATTAGTTCAGCGAAGAGTTCTCTTTTCGGCGAATTCATTTTCAAAACTGTACAATCGCACATATATATACTTCTTTTTACAGGGTGATAATAATACTGATAATAAACTTATGTTATACATGGTGACAGTGAGGTTAAATAAACAAAGGTATTAGAAAAATTTTTTAAAACAAGGAAAGTTTGATAGTTAATGGCTTAGATATTCATCGGGTAAGGGTAGCTCAGCATGATAAAATAACATAAAATGTTGAAACAGAGATGAAATGTAATCGGAATGAACGTGGGAATAAAAACAAACCGGTTGGGGGTACAAGATTTGAAGGGAAGATGGAAGGTGAAGCAGGTGGCTGTAAAAGAACAAGAGTAATGAGAAAGAGAAAAAATTTTAATACATTAAGACCATGGCAAAAGAAGAGGTTGTACCAGTCTCTTTTGTACACATAATTCTGGTTTTCCAAAATGTATGGCTATTGCCGCGGCAATGCAAAGAAGATGCAGTCTAATTGTCTTAGGAAGGCTTCTACTTACCTTGTAGATGACTTTGAACTCAGAGTCTGTCTTGATTGAGTGACCTTCGTGTTCGATTATAGAACTTCTTATTGAGCCGCTGCCTCCTCTTCTTAGCCACGCCGGACAATGTTCTTGGATTCTTTTGGATAAAGTACGCATCGAACGACCTATATACCTAGCTCCACAAGAGCAGGTAAATTGGTAAATGCACATTGAGTTGGTCAGATGCGATAATTTATCTTTCAGATTATTGGTGCACAGTGATCGGCTGGAGAATAATATTCGCAATGTTGCTGCGAAGAATGTTCTTTTTAAAGAATCTGAAATTCTCCTCTTTAAGATATATGCGGCTCTATCACCTTTAAAGTCGATGTTCATGTATAAAATTTTCTTTTCTATTGCAATTGTTTGTGGTTTTGGCATTTTCGGTTTCATGTTCTTATCAATGAATATAGAAGGACATCCGTTTTTGATAAGTATCTCTTTTAAAAACTCAATTCTTCCTCTACGACCTCGGGGCTACAGATTCTTCGTATTCTTGTGGCGAGAGTTATTATTAAGTTTCTTTTTCGGCTGATGGGAACCCAACTGTGGAAATTTGATAGTTGGCCATTCCACATGGGTTTCCTGTAGATAGATCTTTTTAAAGTACCATCTTGTTTCCTTGTTATATCTACATCAAGGAAGTGAATATTTTGTTTGCTTTCAACTTCAATTGTGAATTTTATTGATGGGTGACAATTATTAAATGTATTTAGGAGATCACTTAAGTTACATTTGCTATCACAAATGATAAAGATATCATCCATATACCCTTTATACAAGTGGAGGTTTTCTATAATTCTTTTAAGTTGGTTGTTTTCTAAACTGGCCATGAAGCAATCTGCCAGTAATGGACAAAGTGGGGATCCCATTGCTATACCATCCTTCTGTCTATGAATTACGTCGTTGAATGTGAACTGTACATTGCAAGTACAACGTAGTAATAATTCCTTCAAATAAACCTCAGGTATCCCAATGTTTATCTCAGTATTGTTTATGTACTTACATATAAAATTAATGGTTTCTGTGAGTGGAACATTAGTGAATAATGATTCCACATCCAGAGATAGCATAATTTTGCCACTTACATTCACTTCTTTTATGTGCTCGATAAATTCAAAAGTATCACGTACAGAATGTTTACAAATGAGTTTTCTAACGGGTTCTAAGAGATTCGCCAACCACTTTGCTATAGGATGGTAAGGGGATCCAGACATATCGAGAATCGGTCTATGAGGTAGGCCAGGTTTGTGTATTTTTGGAAAACCGTATAATCGCGGTTTTATCGATGCTGTTGGTTTTATGTGCTCAAAGACCTGTTCGTTGATTAACTGTTCTTTTTTCATTTTCTTAAGGACATCAATTAGTTGCTTTTCTATAATTTCAGTCTTGTTTTTCTCACTGGTGGGTTTTGAGAATTTGGTGTCATCTGATAACAACGTTGTCATTTTTTCAACATAATCCTTGCGATCTAGCAGCACTAAACCAGCACCTTTATCTGGACGTGTTATGATCAAGTCTTTATTATTTCTAAGTAGTTTTATCTGATTTCTATGTTCTTTTGTTAGTAGACTTTTGCTTGTTACTTTTGTGCTAATATATTGGTTGCAGCTGTCAAGAAGAGTAGATTTGAAACGTTGGAATTCTTGATCAGAGATTGTATTAAGACGAAATATAGCAATAAAATTAGCTCAAAAAGTGGTTACTATAACACGAATAACTTAAGATAATACGGGATAAACTAGTTATATACTCAACTTAGTTTACGGATAATCAGGTCTACTTTTACGATTAAGTAAAAAAATGTTAATAACAGAAATGAGGTTAAATTTGTGTTCAAAAAGGGCTCACCAATTTCGTGCCTTAAAGTAACCCACGTACTATTGATAGAAGAAACCAGAGAAGTAGTGAATAGGTCTTTATTTCGATCTTTGCGCGGTCACAGTGGAGCATGGGACTATCTGTTTAGACAAACAAAGGCTCTCAACATTCAATATAAGATAATAGGGAATATAACGCTTATACAAAATAAGGAAGTGAATGAATACTTGAACAATACTGTTTTGGCATATGCTTGGTTGTTTGGGGTCAACTCTTAACCAACCAACCTGAGCTGTTACATTAGCTTCCCCATAGAATCGACCTCCGTAGAAACGTCGGTTCGATTAACCTAACTATCGAAAACGCCTTAGTTCTATTTGTCATCTCTAGGGAAAATTATCAACTCGCTCAGTTTGATTTACAATCAGTGACGACTGACGCTGTCAACGATAGTCCATGGATGTCTCTTCATTTACTAGCTTGTCATCTTATTTTGTAGCATGTGATTTCTTCTACAACTATCGCCGATGGTTTGCTGCGCGCTTTCAAGAGAAAGTTTGAGAATGTGGAATAAGAATATCTGAGGAAGTGCCGCGAGCGGGCTACCCAACACCATGTTGGTGAGGTACGATTTTTCCGTGCTCAGACCGGCTATCAGGTGTTTACTCACCTGCCTCTTGAGTCGCCCTCAAGTAAAAAGTAAAGAAGAATCTACTTCAAAGGTAATGGTGAAAATCAAGCAAACCTGAAGAACTGCTCCACTGCCTGCATAAAAATAATAAGATACAAAATGGAAATACATAAATGTAATTGATAATTGTTCGGTTCCATGCAAGTGCTTGGTCTCCAGAACGGATTGATATTCTGGAAGATAATAGACATAGTGTAGATATCTTGTGCACGAAAAACCATGAAAACAAAAAAAATACTCTTTTGTAATGCATATATGTAAAAGGGTGAACTTGCTAGAAGTTGGACTCTTTAACAAAATCGATCAAACGCATGACCTTGAGCCTGTGATGACCGCGTTTTACAACTGGGTGCGTTGTAACAGTATCGAAAGTCATTACGTGTAACTTTATTAATGCAGTTTTGTTTTCCTTATTGCAGGACAACAGAAAGTGAACGTATTAGAAGAAGAAGAACAAAGCTTGCGCAAACTAAACCTGCTGGATGATGAGCAAAACTATTTTGTAACAGACTTCTCTTTTTGTACAAAAACCGCGTATTTCAATTTCTAATATATCTCTGTTGTGCTCGCACGCCGTGTTCTCACTTGAGTGGCATCTGCCAGTCCTGACTGTTGTGTTGTGATTCAGATTGCTCCTGCCTCCAGGTAAACGCTAAGAATACGTGCTACAAGTGGTGATGGAGGTGTTTATGTCAAAACATGATGAACCCCCAGCCATCCCTGGCAAGTTAACAGTCAACACAACCCCTCGCCAACCGCCACTGTTAGGCGTCTCATCAGACTATGACATCTGGAAAATTAGAGTGATGACGTGCCTACGTCGAGTTCCAACTTTGGAACACTTCGACTACCTTCTGTCCTACTTAGATGACGAAGCAGCGAAACGAGCGACAGCTAACTGCTTTACTGCGTGCAATTCACCATCTCAAAATTGGAAGATTTTAGATGAATGTTTTTCGTTGAAGGTGGATACCCAATTTTTGTCTCGCCACCAGAAACCTTATGAAAGCCCCATCGACTATCTTCACTCATTACAGCAGATAGCAACCCAGGCATTCCCTAGCCTGGACATCTTGGGGCGAGAAGAAATTACACGCTCCCGTTTTATTGAAGGACTGCTGCCAGGTGTACTGCGAGAACATCTACTTTGAGTGCCACCGGCTGACAGCCGACTTGAAACGAACGGCACTTCGATTTTCGACTGCTGAAAGACTGTCAGTTCCATTGGCGACCTATCGACCAACCGTGATGACTATCGATGAAGCCACCGAACCTAATCGACAAGATAGCTTTCAAAGTGCCGCGGCTATTAGAGAGTTCCCTGACCGGAATAGTAGACGAGGGCAGCCGACTTCCACATGGAACGGACGGTCGTCAAGGGACAACTATCGAGGCCAGCAAACAGAATGCTTCCACTGCAGACGTTTCGGCAAAAATGCCAAGAAATGCGGTCATAACCGCGTGAAAAACAGAGGTAAGCGGTGTCGTTTGCATATATCGTCTTGCTATGTTAAACATTTGTGCCCTGTTACTATTAAGGGTAGAGTGCAAAGTACTGAGATTAATATACTATTAGATACAGGAGCTTCAGTATCCTTGATCAAGGAAGACCTCTTGCAGAAACTTAACCCAGCACTCAGCGTAAACAATGCTCTTCTACCTTAATTACCGCGAGCGGAGAACCCTTGAAAGCGTGTTCTAAGATAGGGTTAGAGCTGACGATTGACAAGAAGCCTTTTCAACATGAATTCTGGGTTTGCCCCACACTGACTTGGGACATGATTCTCGGGGTCGACTTCATGTTAAAATACCAGGTCTCTATACACATGAATAAGTCAGAAGCGAGTATTGGTGGAGTTGTCGTGCAAATACAACACCATGAAATACCAACTAAGTCCGTAGCCCAGGTGGGAACTGCAGAGATTGTACGTCAGGTACAAGACAACCAAATAATAAGTGAAAAGCACCGTCGAGCTACCATTGACGTGCTCCAACGATTTAGCACTGTTTTCTCGGAGAATATCTCTGGAAATCGGACAACCATTGTGCAGCATTCCATTGTCACAGGTGACCACATGCCATTACGCCAACCACCTCGCAGAGTCCCGGTGCATTATCAGCCTCATTTAGAATCAATGATAAAAGATATGCTAGAAAAAAAGATTATTGTACCATATTCGTCACCCTGGGCATCGCCAATTGTCTTAGTAAAAAAGAAGGATTCCTCCCTACGACTGTGCGTAGATTACCGACGCCTTAATGCTATAACTAAGCGTGATTCTTTTCCACTTCCACGGATAGACGCTACCTTAGATGCCATGAAAGGTGCTCGCTGGTTCTCAACGCTAGACTTAGCATCAGGGTATTGGCAAGTGGAAGTCCGACCCCAGGATAGAAAAAAAACTGCATTTCTAGTGCCTAATGGCTTATATGAATTTCAAGTAATGCCTTTCGGGCTAACTAACGCCCCAGCTACCTTCCAACGATTGATGCAGACAGTTCTGCAAGGTCTCGTACCGCACCAGTGCTTAATCTGCCTTGACGATATTATTGTATATGGCAGCACGCCAGAACAACATAATGCCAATTTAAAGGCAGTCCTACAACGTATTAGGCAGCATAACCTAAAAGTGAAACCATCTAAATGTCGACTATTGCAAAAAGAAGTGCTCTTTCTAGGGCATCGCATTACAGAAGATGGAGTAGCAACAGATCAGGGAAAAACGAGCGCCATTATTAACTGGCCACAACCGAAATCTGCCGAGGATGTTCGCAGCTTCCTGGGACTCGCTTCTTATTATAGACGGTTCGTACGGGATTTCGCATCCCTGGCAGCACCTCTGCATCGCCTGACGCACAAAGGACGAACATTTTTGTGGACCACAGAATGTCAACAAGCATTTAGCACTTTGAAGTCTTGTCTTGCTGCTCCACCCATACTAGCTTTTCCGGACACTTCTGCTAAAGCGGGTGAGTTTATACTCGATACAGATGCTAGTTCATCAGCTTTTGGAGCAGTCCTGTCTCAAATAGCACTAGATGGACAGGAGCGGGTCATTCCTTACGCTAGTCGGCGGTTAGATAAGAGGGAGACAAGGTATTCTACGACGCGCCGAGAAATGCTGGCTTTGGTAAAATTTTCGCAACATTTTCGTCACTATCTCTTAGGACGACCCTTTCGTGTACGCACAGACCACCGTGCACTACAGTGGCTTCGTTTGTTCCGTGAACCAGAAGGTCAGGTAGCGCGCTGGCAGGAGAGGTTGCAGGAGTTTGATTTTACCTGTGAATACCGACCCGGAAGCCGACACACAAACGCTGATTCTCTATCTAGTATACCTTATTCTCCTGATACCATTAGTGCCGTCCTTAGCACAGCCCCCGAGATCGACTGGCCGTCTCTTCAAGCAGAAGACCCAGATCTGCGATTTATTTATCAGAGGCAACTACATGGCAATAATAAACCATCTATGACAGAGTTAAAGGATCATTCCTTGGCGACGCGCCGTCTTTGTGCCAAGTGGGGCAGCCTAAGATTGTATGAAGACACGCTATTTATAGTCAGTGAATCAAAACAACCACTATTGATAGTACCACGTATACAAGTTCAGAATATTATGGAGCAGGTACACCGAGAACTGGGGCACTCAGGAACACGGAAGACTGAACATGCTATCTGCGGAAGGTTTTGGTGGCCATCCATCCACGAAGACGTTGCAGAATTCTGCAAAAATTGTAGCACGTGCTAGGCTATCAAGTCATCCCGACAAATACCCCGCGCACCCTTAGTTCCAATGACGACAGAAGGTCCGCATCAGCGAGTTGGCATCGATATTATGGGGCCACTCACAACGTCAAAGAACGGAAACCGTTATTTACTGGTTATGGTAGACTATTTCAGCAAATGGTGTGAAGCTGTGCCTATACCACAACAAGATGCCCTCACAGTCACTCGGGCTTTCATTGATCATTGGGTATCCCGGTACGGCGCTCCCCTCTCACTCCATTCTGACCAAGGTTCAGCTTTTGAAAGTCATCTCGTCGCCCAGGTATGTCGATTATTGGGAATCCGGAAAACACACACTACCGCATATCATCCAGAAGGTAACGGCTTAGTGGAAAGAACCAACAGGACTATCAAAGCTCTCCTTCAATCGTTTATCAATAAGTCGTCGACGGAATGTTGGGATGACGTGATACCACAATGTCTATTAGCTTACCGCTCATCAGTGCACGGATCTACAGGATTTTCACCGGCGACCCTACTTTTCGGGCATGAATTGCGCCTACCCGTTGAGCTGCGAATACCGCTGCTACCATGCGAGATCCAAGATCATGTAGTATACATCCGTAATCTTCGCAGCCGCCTAGCCGACGCCTATCGCTTAGTGAAGATCAACCTACAAAATGCCAGCAAGCACCAAAAGGACGTGTACGATCGCAAGACGAACGGATCTGTGTATAAACCCGGAGATCGTGTGTGGCTGCACCGCCCTTTGGCTCCACCGGGGACATGCAGCAAGTTCCATCACCCTTGGCAAGGACCTTACGAAGTTGTGTTTATGCGGTCTCCCACTACATTCGTCTTACGTAACCTCCAACGACCCCAAGACGATGTTATAACAGTACACTACAATCAATTAAAGCCAGACAAGACAACGGTGCACTTAGATACCCCGTTTGTCAACCCCCCGACTGCCGTCAGCCATTATGAAGTGCCACCAGAAGGAGGGGTAGCATACCCTTGTCCAGCAACAGGCACTGAGGACAGTGCCTCATGGAGAGAGGGGATAGTGTAACAGTATCGAAAGTCATTACGTGTAACTTTATTAATGCAGTTTTGTTTTCCTTATTGCAGGACAACAGAAAGTGAACGTATTAGAAGAAGAAGAACAAAGCTTGCGCAAACTAAACCTGCTGGATGATGAGCAAAACTATTTTGTAACAGACTTCTCTTTTTGTACAAAAACCGCGTATTTCAATTTCTAATATATCTCTGTTGTGCTCGCACGCCGTGTTCTCACTTGAGTGGCATCTGCCAGTCCTGACTGTTGTGTTGTGTTTCAGATTGCTCCTGCCTCCAGGTAAACGCTAAGAATACGTGCTACAGCGTAACCAATGGTGCATCAGAATACTCCACAAAACGGAAAAGAATATACGGTTAAGAAGCAAAAAAAATTGTGTAGAGTATGCGGATCAAGTACTGTTGTGTCAAATACCCTTTTCTTGTTTGATTTAGGTATGCATGATATATTGAAGCAATATATCGTCAATTCATCCAAGTAACGAATTGGTTTGCACCTCAGAAGTGTGTAAGTCCTATTACTCATTAGTATTATGAGTGATTAATTGGTGTAAGGAAATATTGAAGTCACTTCCTCCGTGGTCTAATGTGGCTTAACGGCTAAGCACGCGGTCTAGCGTTCAGGAGGGCAGAGGTTCGAGTGCGTGTGGGTCCTGCGTTTTTGTTCACCAGACCCACCTTCAATACGATGTTTGTTGCCCGTAAGTCGCGCACATATGAGAGAAAAAATGACAAGAGGACAGACTGATATATCAAAGTGCCATAATGGAAAAGTATAAGTCCTTTGTTTACATGAATATTATTACTATAGAAAAAAAACTACAAGTTTAATAAATTTCCATTTTACGTTATATTTAAAACAAAGAATATATATATCAGTTATTGACATAAAATGTCTTTTTTATAACGCTAATGTTAAGTTCCAGGACTTTGTATGGACCACTAATAATAATTGGTTTAACGTTAGCATAGTCGTGATATTCATATTGTCAGTTCAATGTTATGATTACTAAACAGTTCCCTTATAAGTTGTTTAAAATTAGGTATGTGGAATCAATGCGGCTGACATAGTAACCTTACAGTAACGCACTGTACTATATCTTCACGGTTATTGATTCTTAAATGTCAGAAATTAAAAAAAATCTGAATATTGCCAATGAAGATGGGTTATATGATCACACTGAAAAGCATGCTGCAGGGAAACTGGTTAAGTCATTACGTAAGTTTCCTAAACATGAAAAAAATGATGAGAACTTTAATAAGTACTTGACCATGGTTTAATCCAAAATGTTTTGTCTAGAAAACTACTTATTAATAGTAGTATTAATCGTATCAAGCTACTAAACATATCCTCAACCGAAAACTTTTCGAAGTAGTTCATATGGTATATATGTATAGCCAGTCTACGTGAAAAATGTATATAAATATATAAGAAGTACAGCTAACATAGTTAATTAACCAGAAAAAGAAATTATAAAACTCGCCTGGGTTGCTTTTTGAATTCGTTGTATTTGCCAGTGTTAGTTGTATGAGTTTAATTAAAATCCTCAGCCATCGTTTCGGAATACTTAGCTTATGTGTCCAGTATTTTAAAAAAATATTTAACATAACACCTATATATCAAAGGTAAAAGGTCTGGTGAGTTGTAGGTGAGGCGGAATGAGGAAAAAAGATTATTTTTAAGTAGATGCAGGGTGTGATTAGCTGCGTGGTTAAATTTTATCCTGCAGCCGAAACTGTCAACATCCTTGACTGACTAATTGGATGTGCCCAGCGAACCATTTTAGTCATTTGTAAAGATTTATCATCTTTACATTTCGATTCCGTAATGGATTTGTCAGTTAAACGATCTAACACGACGTATGGTGGTTCATGATCTAGATAAGCCGGCTTTAGCATATCAATACTTACTGTGTCGATGTTTCCATGTTTTTCTATCACGAAATATTTAGATTTTCTTGAGACGACTTTGAAAGGACCTTCAAATGGAGGACTGAGTGATGCTTTTATTTAATCACATCTTATCCAGACATGCGTGCAATTGCTTAGGTCTTTAGGTATATATACGGGGCGCGATTGTTCACGAGTATTAATCGGCTTAAGTTTAGACATGCCGTCCCGTAGTTGATCTACATAATTTTCTAAATAAAGTTTTTGACTGTTAGTATTAGGGTTAATAAATTCACCTGGTAGTCTCAAAGTTGTTCCGAAAACCAGTTCCGCAGCTGAACACTGTGCGTCAGTTTCGACAGATGTTCGTATTCCCAACATAACTAACGGTAGGAATTCTGTCCATTGATTGGGGTTCGAGTGAGATATAAGGGCGGTTTTTAGCTGACGGTGAAAACGTTCTACCATCCCATTAGCCTGAGGATGATATACAGTGCAGCGTATCCTATTGGAGCCTAGAAGTTTAGCCAAGTTATTAAATAGTTCGGATTCGAATTGCGCTCCTCTATCCGTCGTTATTGTTATGGGTGTACCAAAAATGGTTACCCAGTTCTGCATGAAAACTTTGGCTACTGTTTCCGCTGTGACGTCCGCTATCGGGATGGCTATAGGGAATCTGGTAAATTGATCTATGCATGTAAAAAGATAATTAAAACCGTTTGAACGTGGTAAAGGACCTACCAAGTCGATATGCACATGGGCAAAACGTGCATCTGGTTGCGAGAAAACACCTATGGGTGAATTTGTGTGACGATTAATCTTTGATTGTTGACATGCTGAACACTCTCTAACCCATTTGTGTACATCCTTCTGTAAATTCGGCCATATATATCTGGCATTGATTAGTTTTGTTGAAGCTTTTGCGCCAGGATGAGACAAAGAATGAAAGTTATTATATATCAACTTTCGCATACTTTTGGGAACGAAAGTTCGCGGCATTGCCTTGGTCGTGTCACAATAAATTAGAATACCATCGATAGGTGATGGGAATTGTTTTAAATTAAGACTTGAATTGTTTGTTTTAAGTAGGTTTTGTAATTCTAGGTCCTGCTCTTGTTCGTGTCTTAACGTCTCAAAGTTTACTGTAGACTGCTGTAGCACGTTCATTTCTAGTCTGGATAAAGCATCTGCCGCCTGATTGTCCTGACCTTTGACATGTCGGATATCGCTTGTGAACTTTGATATATAGTCAAGGTGTCGGACTTCTCGAGGTGAGTATTTATCGGCTCTCGCTTTTAATGCATTCGTCAGTGGTTTGTGATCCGTAAAGACTATAAATTCCCTACCTTCTAACATGTGTCGGAAGTGTTTAATGGTTAGGTAGATTGCAAGAAGTTCTCGCCCGAAGGTAGAATACCTTGTCTCTGCTGGAGCGAGTCTTTTCGAGAAGAAAGCAATTGGTTTCCAGGCGTTTTTCACCAGTTGGTTAAGGGTACCGCCTACTGCTTTATCTGAAGCATTCATCATCAAAGCAAGTGGGGAAAGACAGTTCGGATATATCAACGTAGTTGCTTGAGCCAGTTTATCTTTAAGCTGTTTAATAGCTTCGATGGCGTCAGAAGACAGTTTGAATTCTTTTGGTTTTCCTTCGAGTGAATCTGTCAAAAGTTGCATTAATTATGCACAACCTGGTATGAATCTGCGATAAAAGTTAACTAGACCTAGATAACTTCTCAGTTGTGTTAGAGAACTAGGTATGGGGTATTGTTTGATGGTGTCTACGTCTTTTTCGATCGGTTTAATCCCTTCTGGGCTTATTATGTGACCGAGAAATTCTAACACACTTACTTTGATGTATGTTTATTCCATGTTCATCCAGTCTTTTCAACACTGCTTGTACATGCTGTTCGTGTGATTGCAAATCGGGGCTGGCAATTAACAAGTCGTCTATATACCCCTGCGCAAATGGCATATCTCGAAGTAGGTTATCTATGAATCTTTGAAATGTCTGTGCCGCATTTCTCAGGCCGAATGGCATGCGTACAAACTCGAATAAGCCAAAGGGTGTAGTAATAGCTGTCTTGGGAATATCTTCATCAGCCACCGGGATATTGTGATATGCCCTGACTAAGTCAATTTTAGTGAATATGTTCATACCCTGTAAACCGTTGGTGAAATCTTGGATATGAGGTATTGGGTACCTATCTGGTACGGTTTGACGGTTTAGGGCTCTGTAATCCCCGCACGGTCGCCAGTCACCTTCATTCTTCTTTGGGACCATATGCAAAGGGGATGCCCATTGACTATCAGAGGGACGGATAATACCCAATTGTAGCATATAATCAAACTCGGCCCTAGCGATTTTGAGCTTATCTGGTGCTAGTCTCCTGGGTTTTGCAAACACCGGTGCACCTTCGGTTTTGATAGTGTGACTCACTTTTAGTTTGTCTTTAGAAGGCTGTGGGTTTGGTTTAGTTAAGTTTGGAAATTCCGCGAGTATATCTTGGAATTTCGCTGTTGTTACTGGGGGAGTTTGAATCAAGTTAAGAGAGCTGATGTGACTTTCTTTGCCTTTTGTGTAATACGAAGTTTCTTTTAGTGTTAATCGCCGTTTCTTGGTGTCTACTAGAAATTCGTATCTATCTAGAAAGTCCATCCCCAGTATTGCCAGATCTAAGTCGGCTACCGTGAAAACCCAAGGGAATTGCCTCCTGAACCCCAAATCTAGGGTTAAAGTTTTCTGCCCAAATGTCGCAATTTTAGTTTTATCTGCAGCTTGAAGTGTAATTGATGATGTTTCTCGACTAATCTCAGCTTCATTTCGAGGGATGATGCTAAGAGCAGCGCCAGTATCCACCAAGAAATTCAAGCCAGAGTTTCTGTCTCTAACATAAAACAAGCGACTGTTTAGGCGCCCCTCCTCAGTCGTCGCGACCTGGGGAGGAGTTACTCGTTTTCCGCTGCCTTAGAATTATGCTTAGGCCAGGCGCATGGTTGCATGCACTTGGTTGAGTTGACACCAAACTTCCAGTGGTACCAACAAAACTGCCCAGATTGTCTGGACATTTGTGACCTGTTTTGTGACTTGGATCGTGGTCGTTGTGGTGACCTGCTCCTGTTTCTATGACCCATTTGCATTCTGGTGACAGCCTCAGTGAGACTCTTAACACTCGCAATGAGTCCTTCTATTACGGGGTCTTTTGCTGATTCCACTTTTTGTGCGTGATTTATTGTGCCTGATCCAGTTGGAGGACCTCTTTCCATTATTCTGTCGGCTAT